TTTGACTACTTTGCATCTTCTGGCTAGAATTGTTTGCTACATGATTCTCGTTGCTCGTTGGTGCCTTTCGTTATGTTGTTGCCAAAACTACTTCGCATCTTCTGGCCACAATTGTTTGCTACATGATTTCCGTTGCTCGTTGGTGCCTTTCGTTATGTTGTTGCCAAATGTAGAAGAGAGTGCCACAAAGGGAGTCAGGTTGCCGGTTAGCTCAGCAGGTTTCATGCCGGAGCGGCACCGAGTAGTTGATGGGTTCTAATCCCGTTGCCATCACCTTCAGTGGGCTGAGGACAGTGAGGAGGATGGCCAAGCCCAGCCAATGCTAGCACGTAGCTGCCTGGGGTGAACCGTGCCGCCCTGTAACCCGTGACTATGCAGGAGCGTCAGGCCAGGTGTGGAACTGGCTGCTCTGGTCCTGCTGTGGCCAGCTGGGACACATCACGTAAAAGAATTGGGCCTCGCTGCACTAGGCTAGACACATGAAAATTTTCAAGAGTACGTCTCGCGCTGTCAGACTCCTGAATTAGCATCAAGTGCTGTCGTCGCTGCACTTACTCCGGACTCTCCACTCCCGTCCGACAGAAGTTCGAGAAACTGAAAAGACACTACACGACAGGGCACCGACGATTTGTCCACCGAGACTGGAGGCCAGCTCTCTAATTTGCAAACCGCACAAAGGGTCCGGTTGGCCTCTTTTGGAAAAAACGCCCCTGCAGGCAGGAACTGTGGAAGCTTCAAGAGCTTGTCCGAAGGGCAGTTTCTGACACCTTTTGAAGCGCCGGATCAAGAGCACTTTACCACAGTTAGTGCAGCCATGGCTCACTCTCGACGTTTTCGAGAGTGAATCTTTTTTTTCTTTTTTTCTTTCCCCCCCCCAAAAAACACGCCCCTGCCAGTTACTGTACTAGTGGTTCTGATAAGATCAGACACCACTAGCACCAGGGGGGAGGCTCCACCCATTGGTGGGGAGCAGCACCTGCTGGAAAACGGGTCCAGCGTCCCATATACAAAACTGAAATTGGGATATATTCCTGCCAGCATTGATTACCCTGGAATCCAGGGGATTGACTGAGCAGACACCTAGAGAAAAAAAGGGGGAACCTCTTCGCCCTGAAATCAGCGCCAGATCCCTGCTGCTACACACTAGTTCCTCCCTTCCCCTGTTAACGAGTGCATCGAAAACATATCAGAAGATGATCAGAGACAATGTGGGGGGTTCCAATCGTGAGAGGGGAGGGTGTAATCTCTAACCAACGTTTCCTGTTCCACCCACTCCCTTTGAGAGTGAATCTGACAGCTCTTGAATGGAAATTCAGGACGCGGCATCAAGAGTTAGTGCAGCGGTGATGACCTCTTGATTTCTCAAGATTCAAGAGTAGTGCAGTGAGGCCCATCCTCAGGTTGAATTCTCCAAGTCAAAATTATCATAACTGACATGGCTCGATATGCAAGGAAAATGAGCAATGGTGAAATGACAGAATCCAGATTGCACAATCACATTGACAGCCAGAAAGTTCCACACTGTCCAGAAAGCAGAATTTCACCAATATTACACCAACGGCGAACCGAAACACTGAATCCGAGTGTCAATGAGAGCTTATTCTCGCCATCACCCACATACGTATTCACAGCCCTTCCCCCTGCTTGGCACTCAGCGCCGAGACTACTATCCCACAGCTACGTCCAGCCTACGAATTGACAATGCAACTGTTAACGTCAGCAGCCACAGAAGTACATGAAGATGTCGCCTCTTGCAGACTATCGCCAAGACCAGGTATGTGTCCTCATGTCATCATCCTCATCTCTCTCTCTCTCTCCCCCTTGTCTATCACCCACGTCTTCTCCCTCATGCACGAAGACCACCACTATCATCTTGCTACACATCCAAGCCCAGCCAGCTATGGAAGCTAGGCTATGGTGCTGCCCACAGCAGCGCCCTGCTTACACAACTGCACATGCGTGAACACCTTGCCCAGCCGCAGCGCACAGCACGCGAGCGCAGGCTCAAGCAGCGCTGCCGCACGACTGGCCAGTGGCCGAATGCTTGGCCAGGCAGCGGGCACTTTCCTATATGGAAAGTGTCTGGCCTGATGTGCTGCCTGGCTGGGCTGGGCCTGTGCCCAGAAGCTTCCGGTAGGCCCTGCGTAGCTGGGCCTTCGCTGCTACTGCCCTGGGCCCCGTTTGGTTACGACTCCCAACTGCCTGTCGTGTACACTGCTGTGGATGCGGCCCAGGGCCTGCTTACAAGAAAGGCCTAGGGGGCCGACACAAAGTGTTGCTGGCCGTGGCCTGGGTTCCTTCAACCAACTGACGCGACGCAACTGCCTGAACCCCAAATGCAGAATTGACAACAATGGGCCTCTCGTGATTTTATCAGGCCCGCCTTCGCTTAGGGCGGGCACATATGCAAAATGGGGCCCTTTGGCCTGCCAAGGAGCCAAATCCTCACATTCCCTCCTTTGCTTCGATAGTCCCCTGAGAAGTCTTTCAGTTTGCAGGCATTTTCCCCTTGAGTCTTCTCTCATATCCTGCAATCACTTGGGAGCTGTTTGTTGCAGTTCCTCTCTGGTAAACCACTGATCTTCACTTGGATCAGTATGGTGTCTGAATCTGACACGGTACTGCATCCTTGGCTTTGGAGGTCGGCCTCTGCCGGGAGGTTTAGGCCCAGGCATCACTCTGTGCTCCACGATGTCGTCAATGCCGACTTTGCCGTCCATGGTTGGGGGCAGCATTGATCGTCGCGAAGGGAACTGTGCAGTTTCTGTGAAAGGTGCTAGCTTGGAGGCGTGAAAGACTGGGTGTGTGCGCAAGTGAGCAGGGATGAGAATCACATAGGAGGGTCCATCTATCTGATCCCCAACTATATCTAGGACCTCCCAGGGACCGAAATACCGAGGCATTAGTTTTCGTGAGATTCCCAGCTCCTGACCCTGTTCAGATGATTTAACCCACACTTGTTCACCTACCTGAAACTCAGATGGTTGTCTGTGCTTGTTCTCAGATGCAATTATGGCATCTTGCTTTCTTAATGTGTTCAACAGCCTGTTGTAGCATCTGTTTGTACTTGACAGCAAACTCTATGCTGCGGGGTTGCAGTTGGCTGATTTTCAGGTAGCAGGAAATCAAGTGCGGATATGGGCTTCCAACCGAGATGCAGTTGTTTGGGAGTCATACCGGTAGTGCTGTGCACAGCGTTATTGTACAGGCTGGCGACGAGGGGTAATTCTCGTCCCAGTCATCCTGACTTGGCTTGATGTAATGCTGAAGCAGATGCTGCACTACTCGATTCATCTGTTCCGCCTGGCCATTTGACTCAGGGTGGTTCCCTGATGTCATCTGCAGTCGGGTGCCCATCTGCTGGGATGTGGTTTGCCACAGTTCACTAGTGAACCTCACATCCCTATTGCTTACGATAGACTTAGGGAGACCGAAGTCACGTACCCAGTTGTCCATAAATAGCTTGATGACATCGTCGGTTCTAGCTGTCTCGGGCATGGCGATTAGTCTGACATACTTAGTGAACCGGTCCACTGTAACAAAGATGTGCCTTACGTAAGGAGCTTCTAACTCCTTGGGAGTGGACCGAAGAGGGCAAGCCATTAACTATCGTAAATTCATCAGAAGTGACTTTGTCTTTAGCTTCTAACTTACGGGTGATTTGTGAGATAACTGCACCTTCCTGATAGGCTTCCACCATGGATCCAGTTACATCAAGAAATATTCCAAACTCAGTTACTAGCGCTCCACCATGGATCTCTGCCTACGAGCTAGTGCCTCCAGTGGACCAGTGCTCTATATAGGGCATAAAGCTCTCGCTCATATGTTGACTTCGCTAACTTTTGAGATGCCATCTTTTTGCTCATGTACTCGATGGACCTCAATTTTTTCCCCTCCTTCTGCGCAAGGACTGTGCCTATGCCATATTGGTTAGCGTCAGTGGTCACAACAAATGGCTGTTCAGAATCCAAAAGTTTGAGGACTTCATAATGTGTCAGGGCTGCAGGGCATACTCCAAAAATCTCTTGAAGGCTGCCTCACACTCTTCGGTCCACTCCCAAGGAGTGTCAAGGTGGGTTAGGTTTGTTAATGGGGAAGCTATAGTACTATAGTTCTTTACAAACGGACCATAGTAGCCCGTCATCCCCCAAAACGGCTGGACCTTAGTAACAGTCTGAGGTCTGGGCCAGTCACGTATGCTGGCCACTTTGGCATCGTCTTGGCTTCAAGCCGTCCGCGGAAATTACATGAACCAGATATAAGATCTTGGTGTGACCAAATTCGCATTTCTCCAAGTTTACCTTATACTGGTGTTGTCTTAGGAGACCTAGCACTATTTTCAAGTGCTCAGCGTGCTCCTCTACAGTCCTACTAAAGATCATAATATTGTCGAGGTACACGACGATAAACTTATCTGAGTACTCGTGAAAAATCCGATTCATTGCATGCTGAAATGTACCAGGAACATTGCATAGACCGAAGGACAGCACCACAAACTCGTACAAACCGTATCTGGTCTGAAAAACGGTTGTGTGTTGATCCTCAAACCTAATGGCAATCTGATGGTATCCAGATTTCAGATCTATCTTTGTGAAGTACCGGGATCCCTGCACTCTATCTAGGAGGTTATCGATGCGGGGTAGAGGCTCTCCGTTCTGAACTGTGATGGCATTGAGGCCTTTATAGTCAATGCACTCTTAGGGTTCCCCCTTTCTTCGGGACAAAGAGAACTGGTGCTTCATAGGGGGATATACATGGCGGAATCTGTGAGCTCCTTAAGTTGGCGGCGGAGCTCATCTAACTCCGCATGAGACATCCTATAAATCCGTCCTTTAGGTACTTCGCTACCGGGGACGATTTCTATCGCATGGACCACCTCCCTTTCTACCACACCCCTAGGCTCCTAAAAAAAGTTTGGATAGCTCGCAATGACTGCTTCTATCTTTGGGGGTGTTTTTACGACCTCCCTTTTCTCAGAGACAAAGACTAGCTACATCCCCTCCTCTCGATTTTGCTTATAATAGTTATAGAAGGATGAAGCACACATGCGGCCATAGTTCTCCACTAGCCTGCTAGCTTTATACTATTGCATTCTATCACAATCGAATTGTGGCTTTGCGACCTCGAGGTAGTACATACCTAGCAGCATATCGAATGGCAACTCGTCGCTCACAAGGAACGAGATCTCGTGTCTCAGATCCCCTCCTCCATAGGAGAAGGTGCAGACTATGTCCTTGACATAGTCTTGGACTACTATGTTGTGCTTGTTGGCTAAAGTGGATGCTAAAGATCTATTCAGCCGCTGCACTTGGTCCCCTAAGCGCAACCTATCCACACAAGGACGACTGATGAAGTTCCGTGTAGAGCCTATGTGTAAGAAGACACCCACTTTGCGGCCACCTACATCAACCTCTACCACGAAATGTTCACATTTAGGACCTCTACTAATCATCGCCCAAGAGTCTCTGTGGTCCTTTCCTGACCACTCAACTTCTAACTCTTCTAAGGACTCAGACACATCTCTCGAACAGAGAATCGATTGGTCTAGATGTGTCTGCCGGTCGACCAACGGGTCAATAGCCTTGGCCAACGCCTGAAGTGGAGAAGGCAACGTTACCACTTCAACACAGGTAAGAGCGGCTAAAACTCCTACTGACCTGAGGTGTTTCCCTGTGAAGAGCTCGCAGATGCACCAATAGGGTGCGAAGGCAAACCAATCACCGACGGTGAGGTTACCTTCGCTGTGACCTTTTTGCTTTTGCATGTTCTCGACGTATGGCCAAAGTTGCCAAAGTTGAGACACGTGCTCCTGGCAACTCGGTCCCTCCACACCTCGTAGTCTAAACCAAGTCGCACCCATACTGGTGTCCCTTGGTCGCCTTGACCCTTAGACCGACCTACCTTTTGTTTCCCGGTCCCCTTATCCTTTTCCTAAGTAGGCGCCACGACTCCCTCATCCGAAGTCTCACTAGCCCCATCCTGCTCTGTCAGGGAAGTCATCAATCTTTGTTGTCTGACCATCATGGTCAACAAACATGAGACTGCCTTTCCTCTTCCAATCTTGGGGAAGTTTCTTATTCCTACCGTCTATTGGTCCCTGTTGTGCGGTCCCAAGTTTGACCTCTATATCCAAGGCCTTCTTGCTGAAAGTAACGAAGTTATGGACATCGATGGTGGCCTCATCCACCAACTTGTTATTGACATCTGTGGGCAGACATCGCAGATAAGTTGTGAGGAGTACCTGAGAGTCATGGCGCACGCCAGGTACTACGATCAAAAGTTTTACAGCGTTTGTGACCTCACGAACTGTCCGGTACCGTTTTGAACCAAGACTAGCTAGTGAGTCAGTGGCCTTTAGAGCCCCTTGAGGGTCAGGCCACCTATTGTACACAGTTCGTACGAAGTCTTCCAATGTCCGGGCCTGGGCCCAGGTATCGAAGTTCTAACCATAGCCTTGTTGCTACACCAGACCATTTAACCTTCGCGCTGCAAAGCCTTCCAAAAAGGATGCAACGACTATAACTTTCTGCTCTGACCTTGTGAGCTTGTGCCTCACATATGTTGGCACAGTCCTCACCCAGGTGCCCATATCCTCTTCCTTCTTCTTGTTGCTAAAGAAGGGTTTAGGACTCAGCAAGGGGACCTTGAGCATTCACTGCATGGGTTGGATTGCCCCAGGTGTTTGCTACAGTGGCTGCGTAACCACTGGAACACGTTGCTTCACGCTAACCTGAGGCTGTTCTGACGGCTGGACTGTAGCTGCAACCATCATTGTTGGAAGGGGAGAAGTCCTAAGGACCTGACCACTAGCTGCTGCTATACGACTCGAGGGAGGCATACCAAACATAGGAGAGAAAGAGGGCCCTACCGATGACGACGTCACTGAGGGACCCGCAACCGTAGGGGGAGCTACAGAGTATTGCGGATGTCTCATCACAAGGTGAGGAGCCTGCAGTGCTGCCAGAATACGGTTATGACCGGCCACTAGGTCGACCAACAACTCCTGCTGCACCACCTGTGCTTCAGACACGCAAAGCAGTGAGCGTCGCTGTGACCTGACCGCAAGATCTAGTGTTGACTCATCTAGTGACTCTAATTCTCCTAACTCCTGCCTCCTTGCTCCTAGCCTGGCTTTTCTCATTCTAGCCCTGTTTCTTCTCTCTTCTACATCCCTCAACTGCTGCTGTAACTCATCATGAAGAGCCTCCGCATGTAGGATCTCATAATTTTCTGGCGTGAGTTGAGGCTGCTGGCTGACTTGTAGACCAACAGACCGACTAATGGTTACTTGGGGGCCACTCTGACTGACACCTGATGAAGAGGCCTGAGATGAGGTCTGTGACATGGTAGACGCGGTAGCCATTGCTGCCTCCGCGTGGACTTTGGCGTCCGCTTCTCGTGCTACTGCTAGCGTCTTTTCAGCGATGTCGTCCTCTCTCTGGCTTCCCTCTGCAACCTCCTTTCCTCTCCTTGCTCTAACTGTAGGAAAGTGATCGGTCGACTGAGTGCAGTTCTGCGAGTAACTCTAAGATCCTCCACTAATCATTCCTCCTCCTCATTGCTTCCTTCTTCACTCATGAGCTAGAACGATGTGTGATCCAAACTAGAATCCACACTGAATCCTACCTCAACATGACACGCAACCGAGTAATAACAAACAACTAATTTCGGTCAGCCTCGACGAAAGTAGTCAAGTGGTAACCAACAACCAATTTTAGATCCTGAAAGGTAATTCTATTTCTATTTTTAAATTTTTAGATTATTCTAAAACAGAATGCAATGCAGCAGGGAATATACTATGATATCTGCATCGGTCTGTTAGTTGCCAACCAAGTCCATACAACTAAATAATTAAAATAATAATAATAAATCACATGTGGAGATGCATGTTGGATGATAATTCATCAAACTAGTCCAGAGGTGAACAATTGCCGGAATCTTCCCTCCCCCTGTATCCCTCTTGAGTAGTCACTTATGTCGACGTCCTGAGCATCTGGTTGAGCAGCTTGTCTAAACATGTGCAATCCGGCCCACCCCTGTGCCCCAAGTCTATGCTAAGCCTGCCAGCCCTGCATCTTATTTATCCTAGCATGCAGCGAGCCTTACTTCCGGTTGATCTAGCCGATCAAGAGGCAGTTTCAGGACAGCCCCTAAGGTCCTCAAGAATTATTTAACGTCGCAGATAGGACGACAATAACAGCCAGGGTTCAACTGGAACCCGCCAGAAATATTTATAGACGGTCTGGTGTGCATCTCTTATAGGGCTGGCATGCCCAGCATGACCTCTATCAGCACAGCAAGCAGAACCAAGGACTTGCGGCACAACATGCATGTACTAATCCCAGCAGGTTGGCATGGTGACCGTGACCTGAGTGCTTCATCCAGGGCCCTTCAGAGGCTTCGCTGCCCAGGAAGAATGTCGACCCTCAAGGTTGAGCGCTCGCAACACCTCACATCAAGAGGACTCTCAAGACATAACTCACTTCCTCACGGTAAGAAGCAATGAAGAGGGTAGATAAGGATGAGAGCAACATACCTCATAATGCTGCCCCCAACCACAGATTTCTCACCAGCAACCTGATGTGCATTTATGATGACCAGTCTTTGCCTCGGCACACAAACAGCGAAATGCAGTTCCACCTCGGCTTATATGCCACATCAGCGAGTTCTCATCATCCAGCGTACATCCCAACGTCACCACATAGCCTTCCTGACGCACCCACACGACCCTGGGCCGCCGCTCGTTCAACGCCCAAGCGTTATCACCCCCACCATCACATGCGAAGCACTGAACTGCTATTGCAAGGAACCAGCAACTGTAGTTAGAACCAGCTCTGATACCAAATTGCAAGGAAAAGGAGCGAAGGCGAAATGACAGAATCCAGATTGCACAATCACATTGAGAGCCAGAAAGTTCCACACTGTCCAAAAAGCAGAATGTCACCAATATTATACCAATGGAGAACCGAAACACTAATCCGAGTGTCAATGAGAGCTTATTCTCGCCATCACCTACATACGTATCCAGAGCCCTTCCCCCTACTTGGCGCTCAGCGCCCAGACTACTATCCCACAGCTACTTCCAGCCTACGAATTGACAATGCAACTGTTGACATCAGCAGCCACCGAAGTACATGAAGATGTCACCTCTTGCAGACTATCGCCAAGGCCAGGTATGTGTCCTCACGTCATCTTTCTCATCTCTCTCTCTCTCTCTCTCTCTCTCTCTCTCTCTCTCTCTCTCTCTCTCTCTCTCTCTCTCTCTCTCTCTCTCTCTCCCTTGTCTATCACCCACGTCTTCTCCCTCATGCATGAAGACCACCACTATCATCTTGCTGCACATCGAAGCCCAGCCAGCTATGGAAGATAGGCTATGGCGCTGCCCACAGCAGCGCCCTGCTTACACGACCGCACGTGCGCGAACACCTTGCCCAGCCGCAGCGCACAGCACACGAGCGCAGGCTCAAGCAGCACTGTCGCAAGACTGGCGGGTGCCCAAATGCTTGGCCATGCAGTGGGCACTTTCCTATATGGAAAGTGTCTGGCCTGATGTGCTGCCTGGCTGGGCTGGGCCTGTGCCCAGAAGCTTCCGGTAGGCCCTGCGTAGCTGGGCCTTTCCTGCTACCGCCCTGGGCCCCGTTTGATTATGCCTCCCAACTGCCTGTCGTGTATACTACTGCAGAATGCGGCCCAGGGCCTGCCTCCAAGAAAGGCCTAGAGGGCCAAAACAAAGTGTCGCTGGCCGTGGCCTGGGTTCCTTCAACCAACTGACGCGACGCAACTACCTGAACCCCAAATGCGAAATTGACAACAATTGGCCTCTCGTGATTTTATCAGGCCCGCCTTCACTCAGGGCGGGCACATATGCAAAATGGGGCCCTTTGGCCTGTCAAGAGTTAGTGCAGCGGTGATGACCTCTTGATTTCTCAAGGTTCAAGAGTAGTGGAGCGAGGCCCATTCTTCTCCAAGTCAAAATTATCATAACGGACATGGCTTGATAGGACACACCCAAGAAAAGAATTGTCAGGTTGAATTCTTTGTCAGAATTATCGTAACTGACATCCATGCCTATGTGGGTTGAGACCCGCAATTTCAAGGGCTCGATATTTCAAGAGGCTTAAAGTTTAAACCACCAGTACCATTCCCATATGCCGACCGCGGGCACTGCGCGCCGGCCCGAAAATCAAGACTGGGCGCCAATTCGATTTATCGGCCGCCGCCCTTCCGTTTCAGGCCAGCGCGTTACCCGGCGCGCCTCTGAAAAAATAGCCGGGAAAGATACTGGTGGTTTAAGCTCTCAACACAACTGTCATTAGGGAAGCTCGGTAACCAACAATCATGACATATAACCCACAATAACTTCCGTAATAATCTGGAATTACCTGGGGCCGGTCACCTGTGGATATATCTCAAGGCTGCCACCCTTAAACAAAACAAAAAAAACAAAAAAGTATAATGACCAGAGGTTCCATAATCCAAGGCATTGTCGACAATGAATGTGTTACGATTCCCTGTTCTGTTTGTTTAATAAATTATGAATGAGCCTTTGATTTAACTCAACTCGAAGGTAACGATTGTATGCGACTGAGTACTCATACGATACATCCAGGTCAGGCTGGTATTTTTTATAAACTACATCCATGAAAAGTCCTAGTGTGACTCTCGCCAGCAAAACTCCCGCTTGTGTGGACCCTGTGCAAGATCTTCTTTTGCAGGGTAATCTTTGATGGCTTTTAAAAAGGTTCCGAGAAACTGATTTACATTTTGATTCTTGAACCTTTTCAGGAATGCTGGGCCCACATCCAAGCAACAACCGTTAGTGAAAGCCATGTCAGGGATGCTGGACCCGGTTAGCAGCAGGTTTTGCTCCCCACCAATGGAAAGGAGCCATCAGAGCAGGAAACCATTATTTTTAGTGGAAGACCCCCAACTTTTTGTTCTTTTTTTTTTAAATTAAAAAAAGCAATCTTCCCTTCCTGACGCTTTGGATTTCTCCTTCAGCAGCAAGATCCTGTCTCTAGCTAACGGCTCCGGGGGCCTGGACCCACTAGCAAGGTATTCTACCACGTCGTTCAGGATTTCGATCACGTGTGGCATCGAGTGACTCAGTACGGCCGTCGAATAGATCGGATCTCGACGGCCTGGTAGTTTCCGAGCGGGGACTGTAAAGATGCCCACCTCCCGTCCAATGAGATGCGTCGAAAAAAAAAAAAAAAACGAAGTTCGACTAACTTGGACATGATAGCTCGTGGCTTTGCGTGGGCGGGAAGTCAGGATTTTATGGGCTCTGAAGGGGGGGGGTTGATTTCCAGACTTCGTTTTTTTTTTTTTTTGGCTCTGAGAAATAGAACTTGAAATGTGAAATTCGAATATTGTGGTGCATCTGACAGGAACGCTTCTGAGTCTGTCGGATGGCCTGCTCCAGGCATCATGAGATACATCGCGAGGAATGTATCCCAATACCCGTTACTTGTTCATCCTCGTGAATGTGTTCGTGGACACATTTTATTGCCACGGTACATCACTATGAAGACTTACGCGAAGGAGATCGTACCAACCCATGAATTCGGGTGCACAGCTGTTCTTCATAGTTTTATGTGCTATTTCAATTCATTTTAAATCAGAAAACGATCCATTCATGCAAATAAAAAATCACTTTGTATTTTCCAAAAAAACATAAAACTGTGTCACACGTCGTAGAATACTTCGCTAGTGGGTCCAGGCCCCGGGTATTGATTTGGCTCTACATCGACAATTTTTTTTGTGAACAGTGTATGAGGCTATGAGCGCAGCAACCTATCAAGAAGGTTACCTGGGCCGCAGTGGTGTCTGAGTGGAGGCTGGCTGCCAATTGAGGAGGATCTCTTGCATTTCAAGTGCTGACGTGTAAGTCGTTGCTGCAACCATGCTGGGGTGGGCTGGATTTTTTCTCGGAACACCTGGTCATGGTTGCAGCGGCAAAGGCATCCGGCTGTTATTGCTGAGCTCACCAGTTCGATTCCGATGCGTTGGCTCCAGGTATCTATCTGGCTCTACATGAACGAAAAAAATACCAACAGTTGGTAGTACTTGGTACATCCACAAATTGTTGAAATACAGACCCAATTTCGAATCCAGATGCAATCAGATAAACAGAATAATATAATTGTGAATACCTGGGGCCAATCAGCTCAATGATGATATCGCAAGGCCGTCTCTCTTTTAAAGAGAAAGATCCTGTTGCTGGCAATCCGAAATTGTCGAACTCCGAAAGCTACTCCGAATAGAGTTTTATAGTGCTTTTTAGTTTGTTTGTTTTTCATGTTTTTTTGCCTTCTTGTTTTTTTTAATGTTTGTATTATGAGCCTGCATTGTTTGTTCGCTAAATTTTCGATGACATTGCTTGTGGTGGTGCGCCGAAAAACACCGAATTTTTGGTCTTTCATTAACATCAGACCGCTGAAAAAAAGCAATGTTTCCAAACCAAACGTCGATCTCAGAAACCCCCGTATCAGAAGCATGCAATGGCTCATCTACTACCATGCCCCCCCGCGGAGGACCTAGCTCATTGCCTCCTGTATTGCCCAAATGTGCAGCAGTGTGGGCAAGAGTAGCAACACTGTGGTTATCAGTCACCAACATGCCGCTGCCGCACAACCCGCGCACTCGCCTCACAGGCTTGACACAGCCAACGCTCCAAGAGAAATGACAGAAGACACTCTTCCGCAGGCTACGCCCGTTCACGTGATGGCACAATGTAAGGATACAATGTAAGGAGACTAACGATGCCCGAACCATACCGATGGCAGAGGAATGGGAGAGTGTCACCCAACTCTTGTGGATCGAATACCAAGCAGACTGGCACAAAACAGCCAAGCGCATTAAGGACAACTACACCAAGAAGCAGGACATCATAGACAAATTCAGCAAGGACTGCCTTAGTTGGTAATCCAACCGGTGTGCAAGAGTCGTGCGAGCTCAGGCGCTGCAGCATGATACTTGCAAGGAAGAAAACGAGCATACTTACTCAAACGGTCAACGACCGTGAGAATGCCGTCATGGCCGTGGCGATCGCGGGGAAACGGGCCTGTCACGTCCATAGCAATGGAGAGGCGTGGTGCCCGAGGGATCGGTAACGGTTTCAGTTCGCCGAAGGGGACTCGAGATCGACCCTTGTTACGGTGGCAAACTGCACATGACTCAATGCACCTTGTGACGTCGTGAAGAACGTCGGGCCAAAACGCTGGCGGAGGCGTGCGAGTGTGCGGTTCACGCCAAGGTGTGCCGAAAGTCGTGCATCGTGGAATTCGCCGAGAAGACGAGTCCGTAAGATACGATCTTGGGGCACAACTAACAAGTCCGTTCCTCTCGTGTGAAGAAGAAGGAACCCGTCGGAAATCCGGTAATGGCTAGCCGGCGGGTGATCCGATGAAAGCTC